AAAAAAAAAAAAAAAAAAAAAAAAAAAAAAAAAAAGACCTATACACAAATTAAATTAAAAGGCTGATTAAAACAGAGACCAATAAAATTAACAAAAATCAAGGCTCCCTTTCCCTTTCATCAACAAAAGGATCCCCACACCAAAGGGAACCATAAATTGACATAAATTTCCTTAAATGAATACCAACTTTCCATTACAGTCTAAACACTAGCATCCCTTGTCAGTATAACGTTAAAGCTTATAAGAAATATTTTACAGATCAGAAATGCATACCAACTTTTTTCCCATTTAGGTAACAGGTCTCCGTCTGCATAGTCCAAAATTGAAGGCAATTGCTCCTATCAATTTGAGTATTGGACTTCATCATGAGGTGGCTCCGAGCATAACCAACAGGATCATATGCACACTTCAATCTCTAAATTGTTCAAAATAGTTGTCACTTGAGCAATGGAAGGCCTACACTTTCTTGAATTACCAACACAAGCTGAAGCAACTTTGGATAATCTAACTAAAGGTTTCATGTCAGAAGGAATTACCAACCTAGGATCCAAAAGTTCACTAAAACTCATTTCCTTGATCAAAGGCAATGCCCACTTTGCAAGTAATCCTTCCTCACATCCTCTACCACTCAATAGCTCAAGCAATACCACCCCTAAACCATAAACATCACTTTCCTTGCTAGCACCACCACCCCCACTTTCATTCCAATACTCATCATCCACATAACCTACAAGCCCTCTCTTTTTCCATGGTGCCAAAAAGTTGAGACCATAATCACAAATCCTAGGACAAAAGTTGACATCAATCAAAACATTTGAGGACTTGACACACCCATGTACAATGTTTGATGTTGCCACTTCATGCAAATACTCAAGCCCCCTAGCTGCTCCAGCAGCAATTCTGACCCTCTTGTTCCAATCCAAAAGTGAAGCCTCATTAACATTTTGGTGCAAATAGAACTCCAAACTCACCATGCGTTCAAACTCCATCACTATGATCCTCTCACCCGGTGCTTCTGAGAATCCTATTATGGGAACCACGTTGGGGTGTTGAGCTGAAGAGAGCCATTTCAACACCGATGAGAACCCTAACCCTGCATTGCTCAACACAAGCACAGAATGAATCCTTTTCACAGCCACAAGTTCTCCATTCTCTTGCACCCCAGCATACACCGTTCCCAAGCGACCCTTTCCCATTATTCTTCTATGGTTGAAGCCATCAGTGGCAGCATCAATGTCCATCAATGAGTATACACGAGCACAATGCTTCACAACAACTGTTTCTTGAGACTCAACCGGTTTCCTCTTGCATGCAAGAAAAAGAACCACACCAAGAACAATGAGGCATAAAGATAGAGTAACCATGACTATGTCATAAGCAATGTATCCGCTACCATGCTTCATTATTTGAGATCTTTTTTTATTTTTTCTTTTGGCTGATACAAATTGGTTTAATATTTTCTTTTGCTCGTGATGTTGGGGTGATTGAGCAATCAAGATGGTGGAAAAAGGGTGAGATTGGATGGCTTGTTTAATAGAAGTGTAGAAACTATGTTATATATGTGATTGAAAGTAGGTGAGAGATTAAACAGTTGAAGTGAAGGATCAAAAAGAAAAGTGGACTTCTTTGACAAAACGGGTGGATTAATTGGTGAGAAAGTTGAGAAGTTTGTAATTGGATTTTGTTGTGGCAGTTCATGGTTGGCTACTCAACCTCTCTGTTTAAATTACTCAAAGGATACTTTAAAATGACATGACGTACTAGAGACTTGGGAAATTCAATTTTGGTTTCACACATGAGACATGATCTATACTTTAAGTTTGTAATTTTTCACACCAAGATAAATGTTTTCCTTGGTGTAGCAGCATAATTGGGGATTTCGAGTAGATTGTGATTCCCTAAATACGGAAAAAGGATGAGATTGTTAGAGTAATCCAATTAAGTTTTAAGGTTTATTAAATGATTCATTCTGTGTTCTCATTTGTTTGTACTGGAGTCGCATGAGAGTATAATCACCTTTATTTTCTATCCTATTACAATGCATTAATTTCACAACATCACGCAAGCAATTTTAATCTGATCAATTCTGTATTTTTTTTTTATAAATAATGACATATATCAATTTTATTTTTTTCATTAAATAATCATTTTTAATTTTTGATTTTTCAATTTTATATAAATTTATTACACATCATATTTTCGATATATTTTTTTTTGTAAATTTTCACTTGAATTTAATTTTGTGATTTTAAGAATTGTTTTGTTACAATTTTTAGGCCATTACGTTCAATGATGAATGACTAGGGTGATCTCACCTAGTCAAGTCAACTATAACAGGGCTCTATATAGGAAATATTATCAGTTTCATTGAGGTACACATGATCACTTTTATAAATCCCTATAGGCAAAAATATTATCATTTTTTTTTATCTACACATGATTACTTCCAATTCTATAAATCTCAATTCTCTTATTATATATCTTCGGTTAATTTATTTTAGTATTAGCTAGAGTGTATTTTGTAAATTGTCTATTATTTGTTTTATCCAAATAATGAATGAGAAGTTTTACCGCATAACAAAACCCATTATTGCACTGATAAGATGAATGTCATGGATATACAACAATTTACACAGTGAATTAATAAATAAAAAAATATCACTGATAGTCTGATATAATTTTTAAATTCATTATTATAAAAATCAACAACTTATCATACATATAAAAATTTATGACAAGATGAAAATGTAAAATTATTTTACAATATTACGACTTATATTCTCATAAGATATATCAAGTTGGAATCTTAATTGAGAAATGCTAATAGTATAGTCTCTGATATTTTTCAAATATATTATTTTCCATGATGTTCCTATTGGGAAAAACCCAAGTCCCGCCAATCCTAGATCATTAAAAAGGGCCACCCACCATTTATCCACGTACCAAGCCCAATAGTGCTGGACGTGAGGGGGTGTATTGGGAAAAACCCAAGTCCCACATCGACTAGAGATTAGGCAATTGAATAATATATAAGTGGAAAGCAACCCTCACCTTACAAGCCGGTTTTGTAGGGTTGAGTTAGGCTTAATCCACTATTCTAAGATGGTATCAAAGCCATTTAGATCCACTTTAAAAATGGGCCACCCACCATTCATTGATACATGCACCATGGGCATGAGGAGGTGTATTTCAAGTCCCGTCAATTAGAAAAGGGCCACCTACCATTCATTGCTACATGCACCATGGACATGAGGGGGTGTATTCAAGTCCCGCCAATCCTAGATCATTAAAAAGGGCCACCTACCATTTATCAAAAATGTCTAATTTGTTTTGCTCAAAAATGTCTTCGTGCTGATTAAAAAGATCAGAGCCCTGTCCAATTCCTCAAAGCTGCATCAAGTTTTGGAATCGGAGAGCAAAGACAACTTCCTGCCCAATCCCTATTGAGGTGTTGATTTTTCATCGTTTGCAATTAGTTTCTGGGGAACTTTTGTGCTGTGGAGTTTATCTGTTTGTCATAAAAGACAGATAAAAAAATATGTCTGATAAGAAGGAAGAGAAATCGCAGGCTGCGGCTGAAAGAATCAAGGCTGCAGCCTTGACTGCTGCTAAAGGCCTTAGTCGTGCCCAGGCTGAAAGGGCGGCGGCCGCGGCGGCCCGAAATGTCAATGCTTATGGGCAGAAAGAAGAAGGGCCTAGCAGATGGCAGGAGAAAAGGGAAGCAAAGAGGCAGATGTATCTAATGAGAACTGAAAAACCCTAAATTGAGGGTGAATGTCTCTGTGACTTATGATTTGGATGATAATATTCCTGATTCTAAGATGGTATCAGAGCCATTTAGATCCACTTTAAAAATGGGCCACCCACCATTGATGCATGTCTCATAGGCATGAGGGGGTGTATTGGGAAAAACCCAAGTCCCGCCAATCCTAGATCATTAAAAAGGGCCACCCACCATTTATCCACGTACCAAGCCCAATAGTGCTGGACGTGAGGGGGTGTATTGGGAAAAACCCAAGTCCCACATCGACTAGAGATTAGGCAATTGAATAATATATAAGTGGAAAGCAACCCTCACCTTACAAGCCGGTTTTGTAGGGTTGAGTTAGGCTTAATCCACTATTCTAAGA